TGTCTTCTGAGTTTTACAGTGTCTTAAACTCAATGCACATTTTTTTCCTTCCTTTCCCACCCTTTCTTTTTTGTATTCATGAAACCTATCCTGTTACAGAGGTGATTTCCTTCCTGGCTGTACATGTTGGGGTGCTGGATTTTTTCCCATGTCTTTAGTCTTCCATAAATCCCAACGTATATATAAATATATATATATAGACATATGTCCTCTTCTTTAGCTTGTGGTGAATATAGTAATTTGCATTGAAGAATAAAACATCTGTTGCCTTTTTTGACCAAGATTTCACACCTTTCATTGGTACCTACTGCTAAGGTTTCAAAACACTATACTTAAGGATAATATCCATCCAGCAAATTATTATTAATATATGCTGGGCACTGTGCCTATATGGTATACAAAACATCTGCTTGTGGACCTTAGTCTGGTAGTAGGGAGAAGATAATATATCTGTTTAACAAATTGTTAGTGCCCTAAAGGAAAAGAATAGGGTCCTAAGAATAGGGCCCTAGAAAGAATGAGGGAGACCTAATTTAGATGGGGAAGGGAGATGTGTCAGTAGAAAGCTCATGCACAAGTAACATTAATAAAGCTTAAAAGAGGAATTAGGACATTTCTGGGCAGAGAGACTGAGATGAGGACAAGCTTCCAGAACTGGGTAACTAGGTGAGCACAACATTATGGGCAAAGGCCCTTACCAAGGAGGAAGAGAGCTCAGTGGATTTCGGGGTCTGATGGAAGCCTCCTGTAACTAGTGAACTAGGAAGCAGGTGGGTAGATAGTATGCTACAGTGATGGAGACGTCAGGGAACTGCCCGTGGAGGCCATGTAATACTAAGTGCAGTAGAAAACAAAGGAGTTTAAACATGGGGGTGCCTTGATAAATAATTCTAAAAGATGGAATGGAGGGATGAGGTGGGGATAGGGGATAAGCAAAACATGAAAATAGTGAGAAAGTGCCGGGTTCGGTGGCTCAGCCTGTAATCCCTCACCTTTGGGAGGCTGAGGTGAGTAGATTGCCTGAGCCCGCGGGTCCAAGACCCGCCTGGGCAGCGAGACCTCATCTCTACAATAAATCAAAACATTAGCCGGGCGTGGTAGCGCATGCCTGTAATTCCGCTACTTGTAAGGCTGAGGCGGAAGGATCGCTGGAGCCCAGCAGGTCGAGGCTGCGGTGGCTGGGAGCGGCCACTGCACTCCATTCTGGGCAACAGAGTGAGACTCCAACTCAAAAAAAAAAGAAAGAAAGAAAATAGTGAGAAAGTAAGGAAACATTGAAGTAGTTCACTGAGAAGTGAACGTGGTCTGTAAATTCAGTGGAGACTGAGGAACACAGATGGAATTAACATATCTGCCAGCCATCAAAGGAATGCAGGAGCCTAACAGCTTTCTAAAAATCCACCCTTGAACTTTATTCTCAAAATGGTTAACTTTTTCAATTCTTAACTTCTAGACTGTAAAACAAAAGAACTTCAAGAGTAAATTGATTAGATCTTCCACGATGGAAGCCAGGTTGTAAACTTTGAGCTACTTCAAAGGGAAAGACATGTGTAATCCACATAAAAGATAAAAAAACAAAAAACTAGGGGATAGCAAGCTATGTGGAAGTGAGTAGTACATCCATATTTTTTTCACTGAATATAAGAATTTTAACAGAAATTAAATGTAAGACTTACTGCTGATATAGTTTTGCCGGGGGAAAAACAACAAATTAAGTTATGGCATTTCTATCAGTGAGTCATTGGGAAATCCAGGGTTGCAGCCAACAAAATTGTTTAAATGAATTTTTTGAATGACATGCAGCAGGAGAAAGTCACGGTGCCATTTGCAGACTGCCAGGAAACAATGACTCAATCACAAAAACTGAAACAATTTCACCAGCAAAAAATGACTTTTGTGCAAATTTCAACCATCTTGAATGTAAATCCATGAAATCAGACCATCCACCTAAGATAAGCTCTTTCTGCATTCACCTTTTGCTATTTATTCTTTCAAAAAATTCCTAATGCCAGCCCACAAAGAAGTTTTTAAATGGTTAATAGTTGAAAACCATGTCATATATTCAAGTCTATTTTTAATTTTTCTACAAGTGGGAAAAACCACCATTCTATTTTCAGTAGAAAACATGTTCTGATTTCTAGAAAAACAGTGTAACAACCCAGGGATCGGGCTATGTAGAATGATGACTGAAACAGGTCCTTTGGAGTGAGACTAGACCCTGGTCCCACCAAGCCTTAGTTTCCCGGTCTGTAAAATGAAGATAATACCCATCTTATAGGGGTTTTGTTTTTGTTCTTTCTCATAGGGTTTCAAATATTTCAAAAAGGGACAATGTATAAATAGCACAGTATCTGGCACATGCCTGAGTGAGTGGGTATCTATTATCTTTATCACCATTTATTCCTAGAGCCAGGGATGGTGAAATACATTAAAAGACGGCCACAATTTATTTTACATTCCTCCCAGTAAGATTACAGTGGAAATGATACTATGCAAGTTTACAGTAACAGGCCTGTAATTGACTGCCATTTCCACTTTCTGTCTCTTGAAATACTTGCTCTTGGACCTAGCCACCATGGTCTGAGAAAACCCAAGAATCCCCGCACTACCTACATGGAGAGGAACTGGAGAGGAACTGAGACCTCCAGTCTTCTGGGTAACATCCACAAGTGAGCTCCCTAGTGTTAGCCAAGAGCCAACACTAAATTTGCTAGCCATGTGAGTGAGCTCCTTGGAAGCGGCTCCTCTACCTCCATTTTAGTTGCCCCAGCTGATGCCAAGTGGAAGAGAGACTAGCTGTTCCTACCAAGCCCTGCCCAAGTTGCCGATTAGTGAACAAAATAATTGTTTTAAGCCCTTAAGTTTTCAGGTTGCTTATAACAGCAACAGACAACCAGAACAGATGAAATAAATCATCAAGTCTTGTTCCTCCTCCACTCTGACCCCATACATCATTTAGGAAGAGTGTGCAAGTTCATTTAGCCCAGAAGTAAGTGCTATATAGAGAAAGTAGGTCATGAAGAAAATTTTCTGAGTCTGCTGTGAGTTGCGTGACCAGAGCTTGACTAAACAGAACTAGGAACGGTCATTCGGCAAACCTTTTTAAATGCCTGTCTTCCACCCGGTACTGAACAAAGTTAACAGAATTGGTGTCACTCTGGATACAACTATGACTTCTTTAGCACCAGAGCCCACAGGTGGGCTATTTTATGTCCATTCAGGGGTGTCTGATAATCCAGACCATTCAGGTTGACTATCTGACCCTCAGTTCACACCTTAAATCCTAATAGTCATGTACACACATTTGGCCAAAAGGTATTATGTGACCACAGAGGCAAAACGCTTAGGGGTCCAATCAAGAGAAATCAGTTCTAGGTAATCCTTTTTAAAAATTCAGCAGTTTTGGAGAGGTCTTTTCCGGGGGCAAAGTTACCTAATTTCCGATTACATTGCCCAAAGTGGTTCTTCAACTTTCATCTTGCACAATTAGCCAAGAAGCCACTACTGCCGAATAATCTCTATGATGTGAAGCTTGCAATGTAAATCACAAGACATCCACTTGTTGCGGTGGGGCTTTCCTTCCACGAGGGGGAGCCACTGTCTTGCGAATCAGACGTCTTCATTCTCTGGTTCAAGAGATAAGAGGTAGGTTCTCCAGCCACATCTCAGTCGACAGTGCTCTTTTTAAAGTACGTTTTAAGCTACTTAATCTTCACAAACATCTTGCGAAGTGCAATGTATCCTCAAGTTGCAAGTGAGGAAATCGAGGCTCTGGGCAACGATTCCTTCATCCGTAAAACCGGGGCGACGTGAGGTTTAGGGATACACAGCGCGTGAACACTTCAGCAAGCCACGGCAGCCTCAGCCGCGGCGGCCCAGCATCACCCCAGCCTATCCCCTCCCCGACTTCCTCTCACTTTCATGCCCCGCCCCGGCGTCGAGCAGCGCGCGCTGTGATTGGCTGCCGGCGGCGGAGAGGCGGAAGAGCTGGCGGGGGCCATGGTGACGGGAGGCGGGGCGCGGCGGCAACGGCCAGTCACCGCCGTCCGGACCCGCAGTGGGCGGCGGCGGCCTGACGCGGCGTTAGGAGCCTGAGGCCCGGCCTCGCGAGCAAGCGCCGAGCC